AAGTGTGGTAGGCACAAACACGATGTCACAGCAAGGTAACCGCTGACATACGGCTCACTGTAGGGCCCGCGCTAAACACACATCGTTAGGTTTTAATATGCAGCATTTTCATTTTTGACACTAAGAAGTACAGCACGGTGCCGTTATGTGGCTTTCCTTGTCATCCTGTCATTCTGCTGGGCATTTTTTTCTTCACACTATTCTGTCACTTCTTACATTTGATGATTCCCGGTCTCAGCTTCCCTGCTTCTTCCTCGTCTCAGCGCTTATAATCCTCTTTCGCTCTTCAAGCTATGCCACCAGTTCTCAATTTTTTCCACCACGTCATCTTTTCACCCACCTCACCTATCTTTTTTTTTAATCTCTTTATCTTTTTGCCACTTCCCTCTTCCCTAACCTGCATGCTTGACCCCCCACGTCTTTGTGCTTTTTTCTTGTCACATCACCCATTTCTTTTATCTTCCCTTTGGCTTTTTGACTTCTTAATTTAATTTCTTTGCTACTCTTTTGTTTTCTCATAGTAAAGAGTAAAGGAAAAGAGGGAGGATAATGGAGTTGAGGGGAAGAAGGAGGGCAGTGGGCTGACAGAGGGAGTCCCATATGCAGTGGGCTCATTAGAAGATGGGAGGAGAGTCAGCGGCAGAGACACACTAGCAGGTATCCATACCCACCCACCCCCCTCTCTCTCTGTCTGTCTCCCTCACACATATTGCTGGCTTCCTGGACTCATTCCAACACTGACATATCACTATCTTCTCTCTCCCTCCCTGTCTCCTTCCTGCTGCGCTTCTGAAAGTCCTGCTCTCATTAATCACCACTGCGTACAATACACAGCAATTGGTGAATGATTTTACCTTTTACCACCTACCTGCACTATGAGGCCATATATTTTTACTATATGTGGCATCAGTGGAAATCGAGCCATAAATCCGAGGCATTGTTAAAATTGCACGTTTTTTTCCCTCTTCTTTTACAGCAAAAAGAGAAGTGTGTGATTGAGGAAGACAAAATGCTCAAGGGCACTTAAGAAGCCTCCATGCCTATCTGCTGCATGAGCTTGGCCCAGCTTTCGTAGGTAATTCTCTAGTCTCAACACCCATCTCCCAAAACGGGGAGAAGCCCCTACCCCACCCCAAATTCACCTTATTTGTCAAAATGAAACTTTTCCATATGGAGTCAGAGAAATGCTAAGTAGCTATGAGCAGGTTGAAACAGGCAGATTATGCCAGTTACTCGGTCCAGCCAAAGCTGTAGTGGCTTAATGACACTGTCAAGTCCACTCACCTCCAAACTGCAAATTTTCTCCATCTTTTCCCAGCTTTAATGCGAAGGTCAGCAGATGGTGAGGATACATTAACCGTGCAGGCAGGCGTGGAAAAAAAAGGAGGCCGCGTCACACCACCAGAGTCTGGCGATACTATCTCAAAAAATGCTATTCCCTGGGTAACCATTGATTTCCAGTGTTTAATAGTTGCTTTGTTTTCAACAGAAAACACTGTCAGTACCTTCCTTTCTTTATAAAAAGGCCAAAGCCTCAGTGACAAACTGACGTCCTTTGAGCTGTGAGGTACTCCGTGTCCTCTCTGTCCTTGTCAAGGACATCCGAAGTAAGAAGAACAAGGTCTTGAAGTCAGACCTTTTAGACCGTGCACAACACGAATCGCCCCTTGTTTGCTTTTGTTGTACTCAATCGGTTGCAGCCTAAGATCAAAGGTGCATTAATACATTAATTGTATTAATTAACTGCTTCCTTTAGAAATATTCCATCTTTAGAAATAAACTTCCAAGTCCACACTTTGTGTTTAAAAAAACAAGAAATGACGAACTGACCAGCTCAATAACACAGCATTACAGGCAAAGGTGATCCTCTTCCTGATGGGGCAAACTGCCAATGTCACGCTGATTGATGATGAAAAAAAAATTCTACTTTATGACTGACTTAAATGTATGAACTTAACTGCAATGTATCATTTCTAGAACATCCATCAGAAAGCCATGTTGGGTGCACAGCATTGCACCCTTGAGGGAAAGAAGAGTTATGTTTTAAAGAGGAGTGAAAGTTTAATGGTGCGGAACATGTATGTGATCTTGTAACAATCCCACTGTAATGGCGACACAGTAAAATTGTCCATTAGCGGAGGCCCATCGGTGTTTTTTATGTTATTAAACGAGCTCATAAGCATCAAGTCGCCACCACGAGCATCAAGTTATCTGATCGATGAGCACAGTGTGGCTGCCAATTAGCACCGACCCTATTCCCATGAATATGCAAATGAATCGATGCCAAGTGTATATCAACTGTCAGCTAATTGCCTGAGGCCTGAAAGGTTCTGAATTTAAGGGGACGTATGCATGTTTTTTTCCTTCATGTTCCATATTTATCTGTCTTTTGCTTTTCTTTTCTTTTTTTGCAGAATGTATAGGTGTAAACCACACGCACAACACAGCTGCCATTCAGCTTTTGGGGGGCTTTTGTTACACCTCAAAGAGGGACCACCTTTAGTATGAAGCTATATTTATTCAGCAGGAGGAATGAAGGAGAAAGGAAACAAGCATTTAATCTCACTTTCAGTCATGTATGTAAGCAGTTCCCTGTTGAGGAGACAAACACTGTCTACTACTGTGAGGAAATGTTTTGACAGCTTTTTCATCTTGCCTACTTTAATATGGAGGTCAAAGGTCAGATTTAAGTGTAGAACAGAACCCCTGGACCTCTTACAGATTCATTTTCTTGTGAGTTGACAGGTGCTGTAGGTACTACTGGTGTCAGACAGTGTCTGAGCTCAGTACGCTGTCTCGCTGCCCGAGTCACATGAATTATGAAAGGTTCTGAAGCAGGTGAAGGAAAAAAGATGGAAAGTGTCATCCTACTCAGACACCTCTGTCTCAATATTCATTTTAAAGTAAGAATAGAAAGCAACATTTTATTGCTGACACCAAAATTTTACATTGCAAAGTCAACAGACAACACTCGTTATATCGCGTCCTGTTAGACTTGACACACTTGGTCAAATATCAAAGCACATGCCACTGAGAGTTCCTTTCTGCTTGTCTTGATCCTGGTCTTCACTCATTTCATGTGCACAGAATTGGCCTCGGGCACACCATGTGGGGGAAAAAAACATACCTGATGTGGTTTACAATAGCCTGTTTGCTGTGCTTAGTGAATGCCCAAGTCTGAAAGTCTCAATATGGCACCTGTTCACCTGTTTATCTGTTGCATTATCACTGCTTTGCACAACCAACTTGCACTTTCTGATGATAAAAAAAAATCAAACTCTTAACACATACACTATTTTCCAATCTTCCCCGACCCAGCTCTGCTAAAGAGAGCATAACTATAATTCAAACTCTTCCATTCACATCAGCACTACGTATAAGGCCAGCTCATCGTGGCAGCTTGTTGGACTGTCGTCAGCACTTCATCCTGTGGACGCCTGCCAGACAGAAGCCCTTCCGTCCGATCAATAGGCACCGGCGGCTAGCTTCCCCCCTTTGCTCTCTTTCGCTGTCTTTCCCTCCCTCTCTGGGCGACCACAGTATAAAGACTGTTCTGTTCTGCCAGCGCAGCATAGTGATTAGGCATTAGGCCTGTGCTGCTGTGTGAATTAGCCTAATCTGTGTCCGCGATGAAGGACGAGGCTTTTCATGGCCACTGGAGACATTCACTGGACATAAAAGAAGCTAATCTTTAGAAAACTTAGAGGGGATGGAGCATGTGTCAGTATCTGTGTGTATGTGAAGGATGGAGATTGCGCAGGAACTGTTGAGAGAGTTCCCACAGTGATAGATCGTTTCTAATGCTTCTTATCCTTCAACAGTAAAAATAAATAAATACATTTAAAAAAAATCTACTTCCTGAGGATGTGCAGCTCATGGGGAAGAGAAATGTTGTATTGTCATTTCTTAAAGTACTGGAAAAGTGGATAAAGTGCTGGCTGAAACAGATTGAGGCTGCCATCCATGTAGGGCGTATGTGAGGAAAAAATATATTCCTTTATTCTTCAGTCAGTTTGAGGGGAATTAGAGGAGACTGAATTGTCACAAGGCTGCTTACCTGGCCACAGAGGAAGCTGCCTAAACCTGCAGATCTCAAAAGTTTTTTTGTTTCTTTTTTTTTTTTTACTTTTGTAGCAACGGGGGCTTTGATGCGACAGAGCAAATACTAGCACTTTTTCAATCCTTGTACATCCTTATGTTAGTTGTCCATCATGCACCTGCCCAAGAGTTGACATGTAGCAGCCTGAACATGCACCCACAGCATGCCTACCAGCAGCCCAGCCCTCCTCCTGCTCTCCTCCACATCATCTGCTTGATATATTGTATGCCCTTGACAAACTGCCAGCGCCCAATCCCCCTCCTGCAAATGTCAATTGATCAAAGCACAAGTATGGCTGTGGAAAAGGTATATAGTCTCACCCATACTCTTATCTTTTTATTACCTCTGGTGAGCCAGAAACTTACAGAAAAAAGGGAGTTCCAAAAAAGGGGGGGGGGGGGGGGGGGGGGGGAGTGATTGATTTAGAAGTAAAATGCAGTAAAGTCCAGACAGCATGAAGAATATAAAAACTTTATTTCTGTTTTTGACTTTCAGCAGTCTAGCAAATAAAGAGCACCTCTATCTCTTTTGTTGACATGGTGCCTTTTTGCACCTTTGGAGTACTTTTACGCACAACCAGTGGTGAATTTAGGTCAGCAGCCAGCTGGTGCCAAATATCTGTTATGTGTCGGGTGATCTTTGCACAGCAGGAGTCTTGTTCCTGCGATGAGCTTCACAGTAAGCTCGCTGTTAAAAGTAGGACATCATATTTAACTCAGCCAACCAGTTTCATAAAAACATACACGAAGGAACCCAAAAGTCATCTTCACATCCCCTGCGCATTCCTCCAAAATGCAAGTCGTACTAAAATGAAGGACCAGAAAGCACGGGCGTCTGTGGACCCGACAGCTTCCACCTCTCTGCCTGATACTGTAAAGGGGAAAATAACGCGATGACTTACCAAAATGAGATCCTGGCCACTGTCAGGCGTCTCCTCGTTTCCCTACTGTCCCTGGTCCGCCCCTCTTTCAAGTCAATCCGCAGTGTGCTCAAATCAGAACGGAGCTGTGAGCCTTTTCGCTGCGTCCTGCGTCCAGAGTTGCCGGGGATGGAACAACCATTTGCCGGGATGCTGGGGTGGGGGTGCAAGGCTGAGGCATCCGCAGGGAGGAGGATGAGAGGGATGTGGAGGAGACGGGTGAGAAGGAGGAAGAGGCGAGGTACAAAAGCGAGGAAGGAAGAGAGAGAGAGAGAGAGAGAGGGCGAGCGAGCAGCAATGCACTGCAGCGACAGGGAGGCAACACCACCGGAGAGGAGAGGAGGCAGACAGCAGCCCTCCGTCTCGGTCTCGCGCTCACTCGCACATGCGCGCGCACGTGCAGTTCTGTGTTAATAGACAGATATAGAGCGCCATCTTCAGGTTGACGTGTGGTAGGAAGGTGTTGGGAATCGAAATCTCGTATTAAAAATCATCTCTTGCGTCAAGTGTACCATTCAGTTGAAACCTCCTCCATAAAACGCCCTTTATTCCCTCGTCTCTTGTGTCCCACCATCTCCGATCATATGTATGTCCAAAACCAACTCTTATCCTAAAGCAACCCAAAATCTAAATGAGACCCTTAATCCCACTGCTGCTGCACACACACGCTCCATGGCAACCAGGTCCCTTTGGGGGTTATGATGATGATCACCTCGCGTCGGTCCCCTTTTCCTTTCCTGCTGTTGCGTCATATAAGTTTCCCAACGCCAGAAAAAACTGAGTATTTCTCAGATGTGTGGTTGTATCATGAGTTAATTGTCCTGGATTGACTGAGATGAGGACTGAACCTTTTATTTCATCTTTGTTCTTTATCTGGCTTCTAATTAACTTCCACCTTCTTCCTTTCATTCTTTTGATTTTTTTTTTCTCTGTCTGTTTAAGAAGTCAGTTGTGAGAAATAGCTCTAATTAGCCGGCGTGATCCTAATTTCTTTTTCAGTGTTGAAATGTCAAAACTGTATTAATAGATGTATACCACCACATCACTATTCATAAGTAAAGGCTTTTGCATTTATTTCCATATTA